GGTGGGGGCACACCGGCTGCAGGGCTTTTGTGAAAAGGGACCCTGCCAGAAGGCGCTGCCTCACACGAGTGGGAGTGTCGTCGGCCGGGAGTCAAGTGGGAGCTTGTCACAGCTGAAACAGGAAGAATGTGCTGGGGAAAGGGGCCTGCAAAGTGCTGGCCCAGCCCACGGCAGAGGGAGGAAGATGCTTTAGCCAGGGATCAGCAGAGAAGCAGCGAAGGGAGTACGCTCTTCTCCAATGACATCGGTGTCCTGTTGCAGCATCCAGCTATCGGCTGCCGAGGGAGAGGAGCTGGTGGCTCTGGGTTCAGCGTGGCTGCGAGCACGGGCCCCGCTGGAGCTGGGGGCTGTCCAAGGGAAGGAGTTGTTCACGTACAGGAAAGCCAGCAGTGGGATCTCCTGGCTGAGATGGGTCTGGCTTGGTCCCAGCATTGCAAATGGCTCAAGGCCTTTTGGTTTTGCTTTGCCAGGAACCGTATAACTGAGCCTGTTTCTCTCATGGTGTGAGTGCAGTTGAAATCTCTAGGGTGTGGCTGTGTGTGGAAAGCAAATCGAGCCTGGCTGTTTGTCTGTCCTGCTGCTATGGAGAATCCCTGAGCCCAGCGAAGCGGCTGCCCAGTACCAACGTAAAGTTGGAGACTTTCCCTAAGCTAGGAACTTCCAGCAGAGATGAGAAACAGCCTTGGGTTTGAGCTGCAAAAAATGCTGCTGCTGTGTTAGTCCGCCTGTCCTGGGGAAAATCACCCACCCGTGAGGCAGCGGGACTGGGTCCAGCATCCGCGGCTGACAGGAGAGGCCAAACCACTCACCTGAGCTCTTCCCTCTGCCCCAGGTAACGGTGCAATAAAACTAGATCTGGAAAGAGACCTCTCTTCACAGGTCAGGGAGGTTATAACACAGCTGATGGTGTAAGGCAGCAACTTCCTCTTGCAGAGCTTGGGGTGAACAGCTCTTGCTTGGAGCTGTTAAGCTGTTTGCAGCCCTGTCTCCTCTCTTTGTGAGGGTTTTTTTCTCCGCAGCAGCAAGGAGGCATTGGGGATCAGGCCGCCTTCCTGCAGGCTCCTGGAGGTGGCTGCGTACACCCTCTGGGGAAAGGTACTGATGATCTCGTATGAGTTGGAGTCTCCACCCCTAGGAAAGAACAGCACAGTCTTTCCTACACACAGGATCCCCCAAGGTTTTGCTGGGATGCTCTTGCTGATGCAGCTGTGGTTGTGTAAGAGCAGAGGGCGAGACTTTCACAAGCACAGGCCAAGTAGAAAAAAGAGCTTCCCGCCCAAGCTGCGAACAGCCAGGCATGGAGCGGCTGTTCCAGGCTGCACAGCTGCAGAGAAAAAGGGAGCTCCTGTGTCCCAGCAGCAGTGAGCTCATCGTGGGCTCTGACCGAGGCCAGAGCTACAGCCCACAACGGGAGTAACAAGATGGGGAGACCAAAAGGGTCCCCTCAGCCATCTGGAACCATCCCCAAGGGGGTGTGTGAGCCCTTGGGCAGCATTAAATGCATTGGGATGCAGAACTGGTGGTGGTTGTTCAGCAGCAGCAGATCCACTGCAGCTCAGCTTCCTGGCTGCCCCAACACCTTGGGACGGTGGCACTAGTCAGGCAAGTGTTGCTGAGTTTCTACGAGGAGGCAAAGGCAGGGATGGACCTGGGTCAGATGACAATTTTAGGAGGACAAGAGATGTTTGTCTCTGCTGTTGTGTCAGCTTTTTGGCAAAGGTGGGTATTAAATGCTCTGAGCTAAGCGTGGCCCTGGTGTTGCTGCCCAGAAAACATCTCTGGTGGAGCCAGAACAGCAGCTGGTGCCCAGCAGCTCCCAGGGCTGGGACTGAAATCCTCAGCCCTACTTGGCTCAGGCTGATCTGTCTGAAGAGCAGCTCCAGGGCCTTCAGCAGCAGCCGAGAAACCTTCCCTGGGGTTCTACGGAGCTGGGTGGGGAGCGAGAAAGTCCTAGGGCCTACCTAGCACGGGTGAGGTGTTGGCGCAGGTCCCCTATGGTCTCTGTGAAGAGCATCTTTACGATGTACGTCTGCTCCCCACTCTCAGATTTGATGCGGAGTGTGGAGACGTCAAGGGCAGAAGCTTCAGCCATCTTCACCCTGGAGATTAAAAAAACCTCATCAGCTGAGGAGCGAGGGCTCTACTCGAAGTGCAGAACCTCTGGGCTGCTGTGGTGATCGGAACAAGGGAGGGATGTTTCACAGTTGGGAACCTCCTTGAGATGAACAAGACCTCATCTGACTGTGAGCGAACAGACAAACGCACAGACCAAGGTGCTGTTTTGCTTTCCCTGCTTAAAGGTGCCTTGGAAAGAGGGTTGCTGACCTTTTTTAGCTTCTTCATTTTAGATCAGGGCTGTCTGGTAAGTACTTTGCCCTACTTTTTGATTAAAAATAATCTGCTTGGGGTTTTTTTCATTAGCTATTTGGGTCTTGTCTTGTCAGAAGACTATGAATGGAAAAGTGTTGTTAGTATGAACCTCCCACTCAGGCATCAGTTTCCTGGAGAAATTCTCCCATTTAACATGACCACAAGCAATCAATCTGTTTTCAATCTCTTAGGCCTTGGCTTGCTGTTGGGAAAAGTATTTCACAGCAAAAAGCAAATAACATTTTGAACAGCAAAAGCTTTTGTTAGAGAGAAAAGATGTAAAAGATGAACAATTTGTTGGTCTTCCTAAAAGACCAAACTTGACGCTTTTTTTTTCTATTTTTTCTAAGGTTTAAGATAAAAGGGGAAAGTCTATTTACTTCCTCAACTGAAACCCCTGAAATAAACTCTCAGTGATCAAACAGGAGGCAGGTGAGAGCCTGACAGGGCAGGGATGGAGGGGCTATGCCTGTACCTCTCCAGAGCAGACAGCTTGGGCGTCTCCACCAGGATCTCTTCGCTTTTCCGTGCCCCACCAGAGCCCTGAAACCAAACCAGGTGAGTGTCAGCGCTGTGTGCTCTGCCCAGAGCAACCAGTGCCAGAAGAGCCCAGGAGCAGGTGCCAAAGTGCCACGTGTGCACTGGTGGAGCCTGGAGGTTGGGCAGAGCTGAGAGAGGCCCAAGGAGGGGATGGAGGTGCTGTGCAGGGCGCTGAGCCCAGGGAATTGCTTCTGGCCGCCTCCTGCGGGTGTTTTGAGGGGCATCCACTCGTACCTGCTGCACTGCTTTGGCTGAATCTTGGACACCGGTCACGACTTCGTTGTGTTTTGAGGGCTCGGAAAGCCTGTTGAGAGACTGCTCCAAGGAGAGTTCGGCACCTGCCAGAGCAGAGGGGAGATGTGTGTGACCTTTTTTGACAAACTATTTGCCCCCGGAATAGGCTGATTTGGTGAAATGAGAGAGTGCGACAGCCGACAGGGAGAGCTCTAACCTCCCCTAGCTGGGCTGACGCCGTCTCTCAGTCTCCTCTGTTTGAAGCTTGTCCCACTTTCTGGCCTGCTGGATGTTTGACTGTCAGCATCACCAGTGAGCGACTGTGCAGCCTGTTCAGCACACAGCTGGGATGCACAGCAGGGAGAAAGCTGCTTAGCCCTGCTGTGAGCAGGAAAAACTGAAACTATGACAATTTTTACAGACTTGGAAGTCTTTTTGTCTTGTGAAAGTGTATTTTTACGCGTCCATCCCTTTTTTCCTGTGGTGGGCAATTATTTGGGATTTTTTTTGTGGGCTTTCTTTTCGTTGCTACTTGGATAAAGGGAACTTTTAGTACAGCTTCTGTTTGTGAACGGCCTTGAGATGAACTATGTCCCATATTCTCTTCTGAAAGTCTGAAGAGGAATTGCCCCTTATTTTGGGCAGTTAAGATTAGTCTGGCTTTTCAGAATGAGCTTGCAGGAGAACTGAAGGTTGTTTGCAAGGTTCCCCCCCACATCTGCAGGTTTCCCTCAGCATCCTTTGATGCTGGTAAAGGTGAAGCTAGAAGGAGCTTAGCCTTTCAGAAAGGTGCAGGGCAAAGAGATTTATGGAAATCTGCTGATTCTTCTGGTTCTATTACTTGTCCTGTGTCATTCTTTAGGGGGATTTAATGATGAGAGGATACTATGTGTGCTGCCTGGGTCCTAGCTCCTGAAGCAACGCTGGGGTTTCAAGTGCAGGGCTCTGACCCAGAAGTGTTACCTTCCTCGCTGAGACTCTACACATTCCCTTCCTACCAGCTGGACTGCCCCGGTAAGGTTTCGATTCTCCTCTTTTGGATTTATCTGTATTTAAGATACATTTAAGAATTTACATTTAAGAATTTACCTGAGATCTCGGTTTCCTGCACCTCGCTTGATTTTGAATGGCCAACCACTCGGCCGCGGCCAGGAAAATTCCCTGGAAGGTCTCTCTCCGGAAATATCACATCCCTTCTGTCAGTGACCTGTTGATTTAAGGCCAACTGCCGTAAAGCTCGTTCTCACTGTGCCAGAACAAAATAAACCACAGCAACGACAACCAAGAATCGTATATCTCAAATGAAACCAAGAGAGCTGCTCCTTTGGAAACTGCTCCAGCTGCTTAAACTCAATAAAATGCATTTTCATCTCTCTAACAAAGCAAATCCTGGCAGGTGCCTTTCCTCAAGCCCCTGGGATTAGCCCCCCAGACCACAGGGTAGTTGATCATCCCTCTCAACAGGCGCTGGGCAGCTGCTCATTTCCACGACTTGTAAGAAATGTGCTTGGACCTGACCTTTCCCCTGTGTCTGTTCCACACTTGGAAACTGTCTTGGGGTGGAAAGTGATGTGAAAGCAGCAGGTTGGGGGTGGAGAGGGAATTACTGCCAGATTGGTTGGCGATAAGAAGCTACAGCAGGAACTGTCAGCTGGCTCTACAGACCAGGGAAGGCAGTGTGCTACCCTGAGGCTCCAGCTCTGTGGGAAGCTGTACCAATATGGTCCTTCTATTTGGGTTCCTCTTATGTTCCTCTTACCCTGGCTGGCCATATCACAGTGTCTGTGTTTACTGTCCTGTGGCTCTTCACAGATTATGGAGAACCACAGCCCCAAGAGCCTCGTATAATCTATTTTCCATCTGACTTTCTACCTCCCACTCCTACCTGCCCACTCTGGCTGTCCTGACCTCATACTCACCCATGCAGTTGTGCCCTGCGGTGGATACGTGCACACCTCTGTGTCTGCTTATATATCGCGTGCACTTGAAGACCTAGATTAGAGTCCTCTGAGGCTCTCTGCCTGAAAATGTGGCCTTGGCTTTTTGCCCTTTTTGAGGAATCAAAAAGTGGGGCCCAAAAGAACCTCAGGTGGCCAAATCCATTTAAATTGTGGCAATATAAACTCTCCTGACATCTTCCTTGAGAGACACTTGTTCAATCTGTTTTTAAAAGCATTTCCAGGGGAGCTATCTGAGAACTTTTTTTTCTCCTTTTTTGTTACTCAGCTCTTCAGATGCTGCACATACTACTCTTCTACAAAGCCTGCTGTGCTCTTAGAAGTCTTGTTCCGGGTTCACTGAGGCAGAGAAACCATTCACTCCCAATGCCAAAACGCTCACTTGTTTCCTGTAACAGCTCTAGCAGGTGTGTTCCCAGCCACCCTTTCCCCGAGACACACATGCACAAGAATTAAGCCGCATGTTCAGAAACCTCAACCTGAATTTGCTGTGAGGAGCACCCAGCAGGTTGGTGAAAGAAACCTCAACAATTTTCTTGGGAAGCAAACAAGCAATTTCTTCCCAAAAGCTGATGACAAGGGTTTTGTGCTGCTCACCTGCAAAGGGATGCCCTCTGGGTAGCGCATCTGCAGCTCTGAGGGGAAATAGCCATCCATAATATCCTGCAGGCATTGCTGAAACAAAGTGAGAGCTCATGGTTATATCTCAGACTTTCTATTTATCCCATGTCCGATATGTTCCTTCTGGGCTGCTTCTGTTTGTGATGGTAGTGCCATGCAGAAAAGTCTGCGTAAAAGACCCAGAATCTCCACCTTTAGAAATTATTATGCAAGGATACACTAGTGCCATGGGAATGCTGGTGAGAAGCTGGAGGTCTCAGCAGCTGCCCCATTTTGGGACTGGGAGTTGCTCACAAGCCCTATTCTTACACTTTCCCTTTCCTGAGGCTTAGGGATGGCTCCAAGTCTGATTGCTCTGCTGACCTTTCCGTACCTGCGTGGATGGGTCCCCATAGGGCCGAAAGGGTCCGTTGAACATGACGATCCCGTTTTGGTACAGCGTGAGAGGGAGGGCTGCTGACTGTCTCAACCGAGCACCCCCAGGCGTGTACTCGATTCGAGAAACGCCTTCTCCAGCCAGCGCGTTCAAATCTTTCACGTTTCTCATGATTAAATCAAAATCGATCTGGTGTTTGGAAATGACCGCTTCACCTGTGGCAGAGAGCTCAGAGTTACAGGGGGAGGGGGATGCGAGCTGCGCGGCTTTCGCCTCCATGTGAATTCGAGGTGCATTGGTACATTTTTGGGCTGTGCTGCCTGTTGCACTTCTGCAAAGCGTGGTGCGAGTGGTGCAGGGCTGCTGGGTTTACATGGGTGTGTGCAAAACCACAAGGGCAGGGCAGCGAGGAAGCAGCTCTCTTGGTGCAAGCTAACGTAACTATGGAGCCAGCTCTTTAGACACCACTCTCGGTTCCTGTTTTGAGTTGTGATTTCCGAAGTATTGATGTTGTCCCTTAATGTGGTGCTGTAAAATGCACTGAGTCAGGCACTTAACTAGTTGGATTAACTAGATTGGATAAATGGATCAGGTGGGCACGCTGAAGAAATGCCGGTGTAAGCGCAGGCAGCTGCCTGCTCTGCGCCACCAGCAGACTGCTCACTCTTGCCGGGATGCTGCTGAGGATGTTTATCTAGGTGTTTGAGAAAGGTGGCAGGGTGAAGCAGTAAAAAGGTCAGAAAAATGAAATCCGAAGAGGAAATGCTATTTGGCATTTTCTGTTCTGCTTTTTTACAACGTGACAAAGAAGGGTGGGGACAATCTCCCTAAAAAGGGCGATTGAGCTGAGAAAAATGAAAATTGTTTTCTACTGCTTGCCCTGTCTTCTTCCCTCCTGCATCTAAGGAAGGGAACGATTAGTTATTAGCTAATATTTGCATGGTGGTTACGAAGCAGCATTAGCTGCACAGCCCAAGTATTATTCTTTTTTCTCTCTGTTACCACTTCCTAAGAAGCCGTTGCCAAATATGCTTGGACCCTATACAGCACAATCAGGTCTCAGTTAAACCGCTCACGTGGTGGTTGGGAGGAAAGGCAAACAATACTTTCTGATGGAGCCAGACAATAGGAATAAGTGACTACAGCTACTATACACACAAAGCATCTGATTCCGTTTTCCACTCTTTTTACGTCAGGGTTGTTAGCGCAATCAAGCTTCAAAGGGTCAAGATATCCGCAGGAAGCAGCTTCTGTGAGGGTATCCTTCCAAAAGGCTGAGCCATTGGATTCTCTCCTTTTCCCCTCGACAGAGCTTACAGAAGATAGGTGTACAAAATACCAACATTCTACCTGGCTTAGCTCCTGTTAAATTGCTCCATGTCCTTGAAATGGACTGATATGAAGACCTCTGCAGAGGATCACAAATTCTGAAGACCCAAAATCTGGATCTTTGATGCTTATCTATCCTGGGGAGTATCATACCTTCTTTAAGCATGCAGCAAGAGCTGGGATAGAAAGAGTGCTGGTGTTTTACCTGACTTCCAGAGGCTCCTTGCTGGCAGCTCTTCTTCATCCTCAAGTGATTCTAGATCTTCTGGCTGTTCATGTCTCTCTCCAACCCAAATCAGGCCATAGTCATTTAGAAAGCACTGTAAGAAGACAGTCAGCACTGTAGACCAGAGCTTCAGAAAACTAGAAATGGAAGCCTGAGAGCAGAGTGGTTAGCTGTGACTGAGGAGCACAAGAGGTGAAGAAGGAGGGTTATCTTGGGGCTCTTTGGCCCTGGCAGACAGACAAACTCACTGGCAGGGTAATAGTAGCAGCTCTACTATTAGTAGGCAAAAGAGAGAATGGAGGTATCTGTAGTGGCACAGTAATCTCCCCAGACTGTAGTAGCTGCAAAGAATATTTCTACAGTTCTGGAAATCCCAATGAAGAGGCTTGCAGGAGGCACAAATGTTTATGTATTAAGAAACCCTCCTACTGCCCTGTAGCTCACACCCAACTTGTCCTTTCTTTTCGGAGGGGTGAGGTGAAGAATTGTGATCATCAAAGTGGCAGCTTGAAAAAGCCCAACCAGCCTGAGACTGCAACGGCCTCAAACCAAAGGTGCAGGTGGCTCAGGGCAAGTGAGCAGGTGTCTCACCTCCATCTCAGAGACCTGGGTCTGCAGCTGAAGGCACCGAATTTCCAGTTCCTCTGCTGTGGATGAAAAGGAAAGACTTGGTTTTTTTCTATGTACAGCCTTAAACAAGAGCTGTAGATAACCCGTGTCACGTAGCACAGGTGCCCCAGCAGTATCTGCCTGCACTGTAAGTGAACTCAAACCCATATGACACAGAAGCTGAACATGAGTTCTGCATGTCAATCCCTGACAATCCAACCTGTTGCAGTTTGAGAAAGGTGCTGACAGAATAAAAGACAGTTGTGGACATTATTGGTGAAATTTTGTGTTGCAGGAAGCTGATGTAAGCAGTGCTGTTTGCAATTATACAGTGAGCATTGCTGGGCTTACTTAGTCTTCAGGAACCTATTAAAAAAATGAGCAGGTGTCCACTAATAGATCAAGAGAACTAGGCTGAATGGCTAGAACAGTGCATGATGAGCTACGAAACACATGTTTGTGGTTTGACAGACATGTTCTTATTCTCTGCTCAGGAAATGGAGAACTTACCACAGCTCTGCGCTACCAAAGTAGTTCAGCCACTGCAGGGAACATGTCTGGGCTCAGCTGGAGAGCTGTGGGATTCCAAGGAAGTGAATGAGGGGAAAGACCTGCAGTGAGTCACCCAAAGCTGGATTCAGTTTAGAGTTAGGCTGCCTTAGAGGACAAGTGAGCCTGCACCTGTAATAGTGTTCGAGACTCTGAGTAGATTTTTGATGTCGTTTTAGCTGAGTAGCTCTGTTTTTTCAGCCTGTTTGAAGTCTGTGGTGTTTAACATTCTCTTTTTTTTTCTCTCACTATCCTCAGGTATCTGTGTGGTTCGTCTATGCTCATGGAAACTTAGTAACCCAGAGAAAATAGGTCAGGAAATAACGTTTCACACCGCACCAGAAAAGGTTTCGCAAAGGCTACCACGTGTGTGTAACCGATACCACTCACCAAAGAGGCTCTTGGGCTTTTAAGGTGAGGATGGCTCTGAGGGAGGGCTCCAAGCTTGCTCTGGTGCAGTACCAGGAGCTCTGTAGCTCTCTCTCCCACGGGTAGGAGCAAGTTGCCAAGGGTAGAACAATTTTTACCTTCTCCTTCCTGAAGGGCTTTCATCTTCTCTTCAAGTTCAGCAATCCTCCTGTCCTTCAGGACCAGAACAAATAATGACCCGGTTTAGTTCCTCGGCCATCGGGACCTTGAGGCACAGTTTGCGTGATCAGTCCTGGCTAGGTGAATCAGTGGTGCACGTGCTCTCATCCCACTCAGAGACAGGCAAAATAAGGGTCAGAAAGGCTGTATCACCTCAAAAATACCTTAATTAGACTCAAATGAGGGATGGGATATAAATATGCCTCTCCTAAGAGTAGTTGAGGGACACGCTGAACTATCTCCATCTCCTCCAGCTGCCCAAGATCTGTAGGCAGACACAGACTCGTGCCCACGGATGGGCACAGCTCATGCTCTGACCTGCAGTAAACAGCTGATGGAGAAGTGAAACCAGCATCTCTGCAGCCAGATTAAAAATGGGTGTTTATTCTAAGCTGTTGTAATGCACAGTCTGCTCCAGGATTACTCTGCTGCATGAGCAGCTATTATTTTAGAAAGCAGAAGGAAGAAAAGAACAGCTGAGGAGTCAGTGAAAGGGTGCTAAGAGCCTTTAAGAAGTCACAGCAGAGATTGTCCACTCTCCCACCCCAAGGACCAACACCATTGCTCTGTTGCTTTGTGTAATTAGTAGAGCAGGCTACAGAGTAACTTGTTTTAGCTCAAACCACCTTTGAGTGGCTGTGACGCTACTGTGGCTTCAACTGTCAAAGCAGGGCACAGAGCAGGTGCACTAAGGGGCAGGATTTTTACCTTCAGTTGGATTTCCTGTGCTTGTTTCTCTATTTCTTGTTCCAACAGAGTGATTTTTTGCATCATGGAGGACATGAGCTCCATGTCAGTGCCAGCTGAGTCTGAAAGCACAAACGCAATATGTTGTCTCTCTGAAATGGCGTGAGGCTCTAAAATGTTGGAGGCTCAGCTGCACTATATGGGACCCCACACGAGAACTTCTATTGTGCTACAGCGGGTAGGACAGGGGTATGTTTTTGGGGGTGCTGGGTAGAAATCCCTTGGCTCCTGACTGGTAGGGAGACAGCTGTGTCACCGACAGCACGCTGCATACACCAGAGATTCTGCAGGAATTAGCCCTGGCCTGGGGTATTGAGTCCACCAGATTGTCACTGAGAAACTGTGATGGCCTCAAATCCTCTCATCATTGGGGGACTTTACCCTGCATTTTCTTTTTCAGTGTCGTCCCCCTTGAACAGGAGGGGAGTCTCTCTCCTGCTGGATCCTTCGTCCTAGGAGACAGCCTGTCATCTTCTGAGAAGGTGCACAAGGAGTGTGAAAGAAAGAAAACAGGTCAGCATTTGGATACGACTTCTCTAAAAGCAGGTAAAGAAATACTGGAGCTATGCTGAGGGGAAGAGAGGGCAGGAGAAAGCAGCGTGGTCCAGTCCACTCCCTCCCATAGGAACTCAGGGACTAATGAGTGTATGTGGGTGCTCATTATGAGCTGGCACCCGAGGGAAAGTGCAGTTTCAGCAGCTGGAAAGGGTGAACGCAAAATGGGAGTGGCAGAAAAAGACCGTGGTACTTGTGCAGTGTGTCCTGTGCTGCACAGCGAGGCAGGAAGCGGTAATATTGAGCTCCTTTAACAAAAAGCAAAACACTGTGGGATTAACAGAAGGAGCAGATTTCACTGGGAATGAAAAAGGAGATCTTGCTCTACCGAAGGAAGGATGTGACCTAAAGTAGAACTGTAAACATAGATGAGGTTCTAACGTGCTCTAAGGCTTGGCGAGAACGTGGAAACCTTTTGTTATTTATCTGATTATGCACACGTGTAGGAAAGAAAGAGCTAGCGCTGTTGCAAAACATGTAGAATGGTAAGAAAAACCTTATCAGTGGAGGCAATGAATTTGGACAGCTTTGCCCTTTTAGTGAAAACAAGAGGGGATAATATGTCAGAATGAAACACAGGCTCATTACCTTTGGGAGGATTTGCCTGACTGGCAATTCTTTTAAAAAACAACTGAGTGATATCCCCTGTGCATGTTGGGGACCGATGCCAGCCAGGAGGCAGCCGGTAAGATAAGAAAATTAGGGAGTTTTATTCGAGCTTGCTGTGATTTCTGAGCCCATCACTGCCGCGAGGGTCCCTTGGAGGGACCGTTGGCCAAAAGGGGCTCAGAATAACGGGGGTGACCTGGAG